ATGGGGTTGGCTAATTTCTTGCACCAAATAGCGTTACATAAAAACATTCAAGAGAAAATACGAAAAGAAATACAAGACGTATTGGGAGATAAGATACCCACATCACTGGATGATTTGACTCGTTTGACTTATGTTAGAGCTGTCATCAAGGAAACTTTGAGACATAGTGGTACTAGCAATCTAACACTTCGGAAGTTAGATAGGGACTTTCTTATCCAGAACAAATACTTTATTCCCAAAGACGCTTTTGTCGTAATTCCTACACGTCTTCTTCATCGAAATTCAGATTACTGGAGTAATCCTGACGAGTTTGATCCCGACCGGTTTATGGAAACCAACGAAAAAGTCGAGAATAGACCACGAATGGCATACGTTCCGTTTGGGTTTGGAGCTCGGTCATGTCTTGGACAGAGATTTGCGATGAATACACTTTCGTTGATAGCTTGCTTGTTTGTTAGAAAATTTGACATAGATGCTGTTACCAAAGAGGATGAGATAGTTTGGAAGACTAACATATTTTCGGATCATTCAAGCAATGGCATTTGGTTAAGATTTAGTCCGAGAAATGAAGGACGTCAAAGCAGTCAAATTGAATAATAATAGTGGTATGTATAATAGCGTTAAAAAACCACAAGTGTCTATTCCATCCATGTAACAGGATTTATTATTCTGTAACGTACTTGAATAAAGACATGCAGTTGTTTCCAATATGGAAAATTTCCATTAAATGCTGCATTCTGTTTTATTCGCAACATTTTCTCGCCAATAAATATTTAATCTTGACTTGTAAGCGATACTTGACAGTTTACTGTCTTGGTCAATCTAAGGTATTTTTATGAATCACGTTAACGTATAGTTAACATAAAATGACACTAAAATGGTTGTGATACGCAACATACAGGTGGCACAAAATTTAGCTTCGGAAAAGATACTAGTTTAATTGAGGCTTATTAGTGATAAACTTTCAAAATGGACATCATTTTGATAATGGTTTTGTCGATTATCAACAATATGGTTATCTACAAATCACATCCAATAACTGTATGAAAATGACGTATAGACGATCGTCAGAAAATTATATTCAAAAAAATTGGGCCCGTTTTTTATGGAAGACATCTCTCATTTCGCATATCAATAGACTCTCGCGGCGACGGTTTTGGCGTTTCTATAATAGACTTGTCTTGTTTTCGTTATGTATTTTGAGATTGAGGAGTATGAATGATGATCGGCTAGGTATTTTGCCGCATTATCGAACTTCCAACTGCTGTAGTGAAAACTTTACTGTTGCAGAAAAGACAACGGTGATAGCACTTCCAAGTATATGACTTACGGACGAGACGTATCTACGCAAACAATCAAATATTTGAAGATTGTTTGTCGATTAAGACATAAGAACGGGTTCATTTATTTCTTGCGTTAGAAAGATAAATTGGCTATTGAAATTGTTTCAATAAAAATGTTAGTATTATAATTATTGTTTATCATCAACAAGAAATAATTTTAATCACAAATTTTATCTCTTCGAAGCTATATTCTTACAAGATAAACGCCGACAGTAACACATGCTGTATAAAGAAGCTGAATTTGTAATGCATTTGCTATGTAGAAACCAGTTTTCGTGTTACAGTGCTTTATTCTTCTTTATCACTGCGGCAAAAATAAATTGCGTTTGTATGTTATTCAACGTTGTATCTAACCACGACAGGTATCAAATAGAACACATAAGGTATATTTACGTTAATCTATCTGGGGTAGTTACTTGACTATCACCATCGCAAAAGCGTATAAATGTTAACGCAATTCTGTCCATTCAACATCCTCGTGGGTATCTACGCTTATCCATTTATTTTACTGTGCGTCTATGGCGTATTGTAATGTTTGTCAAGCAAAGTATGCTCGAAGCATGACACACAAGACACACATTACTCCATAGTCTTACTCCCCAAAAGTCGGATGTGGTATTTGCGTTTACACTGAATGATAATTGCGTTATATTTGCCAGGCATAATTCACCAACAAAACGCAGAGGTTTAGGCTGCAAAAATGTCTCATAAAACGTTTGAGAGCAATGTCTGATAATTCGTATCTGCAATATTGCTATTTGTGCACAAACGCAC